GGTGAAAATTTCATGTCATTAGTACCTCTAGTAATATATTTACTGAGAAAAATGTTGACGTGTTCAATACTTATTTTACCCGCTGTATAAAATTAACAGAAAAAGTAAGTGAAGTAGTGTTTGGTAGATTATGTCTTTGTTGTAACAATGTTTCTTTATAATGAATCGTATGTCGTTGAAAACCCTGTTAATTTATCTGGTTTGAAAGGAACATGCATTTGTGGGATGAGCAGTATGTGGGTTGTGCACTTTAAAAAAATTTCAAACAAAGAAATAATCTACCAAACAATAATTTACTGAAGCTTTGTGCTAAGTATGTGGAGCTTTGGCAGTAATTTACTGACTGTTTTCAGAGTTTGGATTAAACATTATTCATAAATTATCTTTATTGTCATCTGTCGAAGATGAAAGGACGTTAAGGATAACTGATTAACTTTTGTCCAAAGGTTTAACTGTTGGAATTAACCCAAACAGTTCTAGCAAAAGCTGAAATGTTTTATAATTCTGTCAGTTTTACAAATATGGGGGTAGTTAGTGTATGAGAAGGTGAAATTATAATCAAATGTGTTTTTAAAACTTTGGCATTAACTGTCTGAGTCGAGACTGAATGTTTGCTAGAAAAATATTTAATTAATCTCTTGATGGATGTTAATGAAACTGACAAAATAACGATAAGTTATGAATATAATCAATAATGGTTAATCATTAGTAATGAATGTCATCAAGCAATCACAGTGATTATATTTTGGAGTCAACCAAATTAAAGATGGCCGCCACAGCAAACACAAAACAAAAAATTGCTATAATTCCGTCAGTGTCACTGACATTGAAGTAGGATTTTGTGTGGTAGTAGCTGAGAGTCATTCATATTTGCTTAAAACTTTAAATGTTGGTGTCAACCAAGTTTGTTAGCTAAACATCTCATGAACAACTGGATGGAGTTGAACGAAACTTTGAAAAAGGAATCACTGGATGCTCGTTTTACGATTCAAGATGGCCACCAAAGCTAATCAACTTTAGCCAAGACCAAAATGACTGTGACTCAGGTGGACAGATACTGAGGTGTGCTGGTAGCTGGGTGTCATTCACAACACAAGTGTTACACATTGCACAACATCTGCTTAGAAACAGGTTAACTGTTGTTGTCATCCCTGTTTGTGTGTTAGCAAAACATCTGGATGGATTGTTGTGTGTTAGCAAAACATCTGGATGGATTGTTGTGTGTTAGCAAAACATCT